GAAAAAAGACTAGCTCTTTGGAAATCACAATACCTTTCCCTGGGAGGTAGAGTTGTTTCGATCAATGCAGTCCTAGATTCTCTGCCAACATATGTAATGTCTTTATTTCCCATCCCCCGGTGAGGTGATGGAAATCTTAGACAAGTTGAGGAGGGATTTCTTATGGCAAGGAAGCAAGATTGAGAAAAGTTTCAACCTGGTAAAATGGAGTGCAGTTCAGCAAAGCAAGAGTTATGGTGTTCTAGGAGTGAGGAACCTAAAGCTTCATAATAAGAGTATACTTATCAAATGGCTATGGAGATTTACTCAAGAAAATCAGTCCTTGTGGAGAGAGATTATCCTTCATAAGTATGGTCCGGAGGGGCAGTGGTGCACTAATAAAATGACTAATACATATGGGGTTGGGGTTTGGAAATCTATCAGGAATCTATGGATGACTTTCAAGCAAAACACTAAAGTTAGAGTTGGTAGGGGAGACAAGATATTTTTTTGGGAAGAGGACTGGAGTGGTCATGGCACACTTCACTCCCTTTTTCCTGGACTGTTCTCAATAAGCTTGAATACTGGATGCAGTATACAAGAAATGTGGTCCCCTCAAGGGTGGAACCTGACTTTCAGAAGACCCCTAAATGATTGGGAAATACCATGGGTGGTAGATTTTCTAAAACTAATAGGAAACTTCCCAGGCACTAATACAAACTCAGACAAACTCATTTGGAGGCACCACAATGATGGAATTTCACTGTTAACAGGGTATACAAAAGGGGACTGAGTGTTGCTGCAGGCAGGTCAACTGGACCTTGGAATACTGTATGGAAGAGTGTGGCTCCTAATAAACTGAAATGCTTCACTTGGCTAGTAGCTAGGAAAGCATGCTTGACACATGAGGCATTGCAAAAATGGGGGTCCATCATAGCATCTAAATGCCTCCTCTGCAAGGAGGCACTAGAAACCAACAAACACCTTTTCATGCATTGCAAAGTAACGACACAAGTTTGGGCTATGTTCACTTCCATTGCTGGAATCAACTGGATCATGTCTGAACATACTGCAGATTTGCTTAGCTGTTGGATCAGAAGAGGAGGAAGCAAAAGCCAAAAAGATGGTGGAGGACAGTCCCAGCCTGCATCTGGTGGACCATTTGGAAGGAGAGGAACCAGAGGATCTTTGAAGGAAAGAATCCTCTATTTTGAAGATTAAGTGGAAAGTTATTACTTCACTAGGTTTTTGGTGTAAAGAACAGAATATAGAAGAGGAAATCCAATTAGTGGATTCTATAGGCTCTTTGTAACTGTGTCTCTTTTATTTTTTGTAAACTTTTTGGAGGTGGCCAGCATAGCCTTAATGCTGAATGAATACAATTTACCAATTTCAAAAAAAAATAAACCACAAACTGAATATGCTCGCTATTATCAGTCTTTATGTCTGGTGATAAATTTTCATTTGATGTAATAGTGCCTGCGGCCGTCAGATTCTGGGTCTACCTCAATATATTTGTAGTTCAATTTTTATTAGTATTAGACAGATATTTGGGGATATTATAGTAGCGTTTTCTTCTCTTTTAGAGGCATTTGCCAGCAACTTAAATCGACCTGGCCTATTTTATTTCCTTGTGATTTGTTCCCGTAAATAATTGTGTTTTTATCGTGCCAATCAGGTGTTCTGGATTATAATCATGGTCTAATATTGACACATGCTTGTTAGGAAAATATTTGATCTATTCTTTTAAAAAGGAAACTACTTGTTGTATTTCCTTTTCTAACCCTGCTGTCCCTTTTACTCCTATTAGTTAATTTCCTGTGTTTGTTTACATAGTCGTCGTGCTTAAAAGTTGATGGACTTCAATTTTTACCATTAGGTATTTTGTTCTCTTTTTAAAGGGTTCAACTAGTAAGCTCCTTTGAAAGAAATCTCTGGAAATGTTGAGGCCATTGTTGGGATCTCCCTGTTCTCTGTATTATAAACTCCTTTAGATTAAATTTGAAAGGTTTTCTGGAAAGAAAATTGCTTTATATTTGTAGCTTGTCTTAGTATTTTCGTGATACAGAATTTCATGGAATCGACGCTGTTTCTTCTCTTCCTTTATAAAACATATTTAAGCAGTTTACAGTAGCACCTTTATTCATTGTGTTGTTATTTGCTGATTTCGCCAGAATTTAATATTTATGGTTTTTGCTTAATGAGGGTGTTACAACTTGCTTAGTTGATTCAAATTTTCTGTTAAGTAGTGCATGTTTCATTCTGCCTGCAGGTTGCTACAGGGCAAGTTGCTAGCACTGGAATGGTTGCACTGGGTTATGTTCAGAAAGTTTCTGACAAGGTCTTACAAAGGCATTTCCTATTCTAGAGATAGAGTTAATGATGAGTGGGTTTGGTAATTGCTTAAAGACTTTCTTCCATGCAGGTGTCTCTAGCATCAGACTTTATGTACAACTATATGTCTAGGGATGTAACAGCAAGCGTTGGTTATGATTACATCCTTCGGCAGGTAATTTCTGTGGTAAACAAAATATTAAAAATATTTACTGGAAAGCTTTGCACTTGCGAGTTGTAGTTTACTCAGTATCTAATCATCTGGTTTTGATGAGTGTATTGCACTGCTGGTCTGCTGCAATCATGTGCGCTAGTTCAAATGGTGTGCATGTTTAATTCTGGCAAAATTATCTTTTAAATTTAATTTTTGCTGATTTTTTGACACCTTGATGCCAAGGAGATCATTTTTGCTGATTTTTTGACACCTTGATGCCAGAACGACGTCAATATTCTCATTCCCTTCTGTAAAGACTCTTTGACTACCACCTCTTCCGTGTCCATGTTATGCAAAGATGATCCGTGTGCATATTGTGTATGCAGCATGCTTTCATGCTTGCTTTCTCATTTGCATCTCCTCTCATTCATCAGTTGAAATATGTGTAAGGTGGCTTCTTCTTCTTTTGGCAGAAGAAGAAACTGAGTGGGGAGGGTTCTATTGCCTCATTCCTGCACATAACCTGAAATCATCCCTTTTATAAGATGTAACATATGCTATTAAGCACTTCCTTATTGACATTTCATGCAAGATTAGGTAAAGAAATACTTTCCGCAAGTGTTAACTGCTATATACATTTCAATTTGTCTTTTGTCACTATAGCACAATTAGAGGTTGCTGCAAACTACAAAGGCAAGTTTCCTGAATTTCAGTTGTTGTATTTCCAATTGACTCGGACCCACATCTTTTGGGGTTTTTGCGTCTGAACTACTTCTTTGGTTATTGGGGTGCATTCATCAGTTGAAATGTGTAAGGTGGCTTCTTCTTCTTTTGGTTAAGCACTTTCTTATTGACATTTCATGCAAGATTAGGTAAAGAAATACTTTCAGCAAGTGTTAACTGCTATATACATTTCAATTTGTCTTTTGTCACTACAGCACAACTAGAGGTTGCTGCAAACTACAAAGGAATACAAGTTTCCTGAATTTCAGTTGTTGTATTTTCAATTGGATGGTCACAAGATAGTTAGTTAATACTATAAGTCTATGTTTGGACTTCTCATGTTGTTTTGGGTGCATAGCAATAGTTGGCTCATTTATTAAAGGTGGTCAAAATCAGTAATATTGTGTGCATTGCAGTGTCGTCTTAGAGGAAAGATTGATTCCAACGGCTGTGCTGCTGCTTTCCTGGAAGAACGCCTGAACATGGGGCTTAATTTCATTCTTTCTGCCGAGGTAATTGAGCATTTACTTTCAAAACAAATTTCGCGCTTTTACAAGTCTCTATCTCATGCACTTTGGCTACTCAACTGTTATAAAATCTGCTCCTGATGGTGCCTGCAGATTGATCATAAAAAGAAAGATTACAAGTTCGGATTTGGTCTGACAGTGGGAGAATAGAGGAGGCAGTCAGTTTAAACAAGGATAAACTTTTAATCGATCATATCCGTGGAACTAAAAGCATCTTAGGTGATTCTTTACCTCAATAAGAATCAACACATCAGTTTTGTATTTTTTATTGAGAAAACTGCTATGGTACATCAGGTGCTGCAACTAGCCATCAGTAGTTGATTTTGCAGTGTGGTAAGGGAACATTCATGGCCAAATTTAAACGGAGGGCAAAATCGTTTTATTGTTTTATTTCCTATAGTCAAAAGGCATTTTAGCCCTTTTTCCTGATAGAGAGAAATATAAATTCTGATTTAGTGTTTATGGATAGTGGCATTTGCCCAGAGGCTTATCCCTACTTGAAAATTGTTGATGTAATTCCCTTGCATTCATTTCATGTTATTTGCGAAGTAAAGAGGCGTTGAAGGTGCACCATAAGGATAAGGTTCACCATAAATACTTAGCACATAAATTATCTTTTGATTTTCAAAATTATATCGAAATTGTGGATTAGTAAAAATGGATGGATGGATAATTTTAAAGTTTATGTAATAACTCAATATTTTGAAGCTCATCTGGCAAATTGCAACTCCGTGCCAAATTAAGCAATAAAAAATGTCCACTTTTTTAACTGTCCACTGTCTGCGAGGCATCTTCTCCGAAAACAACCGCAAATCAGCTAGAAAAATCATAGATGTCAAAACCACCGAACCCACCATTAGCTCTTTAAACCCCACCAATCACACACCCCAAGGAATTGTAGATTTCATGAAAAGTTCATCAATATGCCATGATTTCCGACGCTGCCGTTTCAATTATGACATCGCCGTTCACCGCCTTGCCAAAGCCAAGTACTTCTCCGGTATTGAAGAAATTATCGAACATCAAAAACAGTACCCAGATATTCGAGACGAATCCTTTGTAGACTGCTTTATCCTTCTGTACGGGAATGCTAAGATGTATGATCATGCACGTAATTGTTCGACGAAATGCCTCAACTAGATTGTCAGCGGACTGTCTATTCCTTCAACGTCCTTTTGGAATCATGCATCAGATCAGAGAGATATGATGAAATTGGTTTGCTGTTTCGTGAATTACCCTAGAAATTGTCAATTGTGCCTAATTTAATATCCTATAACGTCGCGATGAAGGCGTTGTGCAAGGCTGGTTCTGTGTATTCTGCTGTGCTTTTGATCGATGAGATTGAAAAGCATGGGATTAAGCCGGATATTGTGACTTGTAATACATTGTTAAAAGCACTTTGTGATAGTAAAAGGTTTTCTGAGGCTGAAAACTTGTGGGTTATGATGGAAAAGAGAAGTATTCTTCCTGATATTTGCAGTTATGATATTAGATTACGAGGTTTACTTAAAGTTGCTGAGGTTTCGAAGGCGATTCAGTTGTTTGAGGAGATCGTTAAGAAGGGTTTCAAACCGGATAAATTCAGCTACGATAATATGATAAAAGTGTATGTTGATGAAGGGAATTTGGAGCAGGCTAATATGTGGTATCAGAAGATGGTGCAAAATGATTGCCTGCCGGATTCTGCAACATTTCACATGCTTATTCCTTTGGCTTGTGACATGAAAAAAATTGATTTTGCGCTGCACTTGTGCACGAAAGCTATTGATTCACAGGTACTTGAAGATGAAGTGTGTACAAGTTCTGAGGAATAGTTCATCTCCTCCTAAGAAAAATATTCTCAGTTTTCAGTTTTGATTGAATTCCATCAGTGCAAACCTGATAGACCAAGGGTTCAAAGCATCATGTGATTTTTTTCGTCTATCTAAGCTTTGGTAGGCGCTAGCTTACGAGGGAAGGATTGTCCAAAGCCAAGGAGACCACCCATCATGTTTCATTTGATGTGAGACTCTTTAACACCTCCACCTCGCACCAGGGCTGGACATCTGGAGCGTGAGAATTTAATATGGAGATCAATATCGGTAATAATAATTAGAATGAGCTCTGCTTGAATACCATGTAAAGAATTGAATTTTGGGTTTAACTCAATCCCATAAGCTAGCTCATGAGGGAAGGATTGACCAAGTTCATCCATTTTTCATCCAGTATGGGACTCTTCAATGAGTACCTATGTTGGTCTATGTTGGTGGTTGATGGCAATTGACAAGTGAAATATTCGAGATAAGAACAACTGACTCGAACACCACCCTTATTAAAAAAAAAAAGGTGCTTCAGAGATACAACATTGTTGTTCTTTCTTCATGCATTGCTCCTTAATTAATGTTAATTTTTTTTATGTATCTAGAGTATATGCATGTTTAGTTAATTAAACTAATCTAATTTTAAATTTGTAAAACCAAAAGGTGAGAAAATTGTCATACCTTGCAAATAAAGTAGATCTAGCTCAGTTAGTTTCAGACAGGGCCGTCTCAACCATAAGGCCACTAAAGCAATCGATTGGGGCCTCAATTTTTTTGGGGCCCCCATTTTCTCTCAAAGATGTGTGTGTGTATATATATATATATATATTAGTTAAAAAAATTAATGTACTGATAACTTTGAAATAATTTTTGTATAGAAATATAATTGAGAAATTGAATATTGTTTAGTTGATTGTAGTGTCTTTCTAGATTCTCATGTGGCTAGTTAATTGTTGTATCATTTCTAACTTCGCATGTGACTATCTATTTTGTTGTCTAGCTCATTTATATTTTGATGATTATCATGAACCAACAATATTGTGTTTTTATACTTACTTTTCATTATTGAATATTCTTAAGTCTGTCAAACGTTCAAACATTCTACTATTATGTGATATCTATTGTTGTGTGTTTATAAAAAGACAAAATTATTTTTTGGTGTCTTATTCATATTTTCAAGCACTAAAATTTAATTCAACACTATTTTTAATATTATTTATTAACTTATCAAATTCATCGCTACACTATTTTTAATATCACCATATTTTTAAAGTTTTATTATTCCAACTTTATATTATATAATTTTCATTGAAAATTTACATTATTTGCATTCTTACTTCATAATGTCTACATATATCCTGCCTCTCCAGACCTCATTTGTAGGATTACACTTCTATATTATAATTATTCAATTTGTATTTATCAACTAAAAAAATAGGGCCTTTTTGTAATGTTTGACTTTAGGCCCCCAAACTTGTTGAGACGGCCCTGCGTACACCTATCTATTCCTTTCAATTTCAACAATTTAAAATTATTTGTCTATAGTACGTTACGTTTTTCTTTTCCTTTCCAGAATACACACACAAACTATGGCTCTATTATGAAGAAATAACAATGATCGAGTACAGTTGTACCTATATCTATTGGCCTAACGTCTTAATTAATTCCGTATATCTGACTAATATCCACATGCCAATTTTTTTTTCCACATGTCAATCTTATTCTTTCCTTGTCGATGAAGATTCACCACAGCTATTCTTTTAGTGCGCTTAAAGTAAATTTTGTTTCAGTATAATAATTTACAAATCATATCTTTTAGTGCGCTTAAAGTAAATTTCGTTTCAGTATAATAATTTACAAATCATATCAAACAAAGGAAAGAACTCAACAAAAAAAAACATGCAAGATCTTTTACATTTGAAAACCCCATTCAGGAGATCATCTGCATGATTAACTCGATTAGTTGCGTCGACGTGACAATTTTTGTTTTGGCTAAGACATAAAATATAGTACTCCCTCCGTTTCACAAAGAATGGTCTAGTTTGATTTGTCACGGAGTTTAAGAAAATAAAAAAGACTTTTGAATCTTGTGGTTCTAAATTAAAGTTATGTCAAATGTACAAAACTGTCATTTACTCTTGTCGCCTTAAACATGTCATGTGGAAAGCTGAAATTAAAACCTTACTATAAAAATAAAGAGGTCATTTGTTTTGAAATAGACTAAAGAGGAAATGAAGTTATTCTTTTTTAAACGGATGAGTATGAAAATAACACCACAAAGGACGTGGCATACATTAGTGGATAATTTAGAGATCAAAGGTAGCCGTGCAAGTCAAATTTGACATGCTTTGCTCCTTGAAAATAATGATTACAAACAAGTTGAATTTCTTTTAGTTTGAAAAAAATGACATTCTTTGTTTGTTTGTAATATCGACTTTTTCGTATACTTGTGTCTATATTTCAAATTTAATATTAAAATAAAAGGATTTAATTTACGTACTAAAGTAAATAATTTTTTATACTATTAAGTATTAACTACTTCTTAAATAAACTCTTAAAAGAATAACACACCCAAAGGGACTTTGGTCAGAATAATTTTATACTACTATCAAGGAAATGTATGCCAATAATAAGAATCTTTATTTATTTTATTCAAAGATAAGAAACTAAAAGTTCTTAAATAAAGTCTATGACACTAATTTATTCCTGCCATGTTTGTTAGTGGATTCTTCATAATCAAGCAATTGTTCCGTTTTATTAATATTATTATTAATAAAAAAAAAATAACAGAGGCTCGTTCCTTTTAACAACATACAAAATTATGTATCTACTTACCCTCTTAAAATATTTCAAACACATGTAAGTGTGATAATTGAAGACCTTTCATAATATTTAAATTTCATATTCTCTAATTAATTGCATAAAAGAAAAATATATTTCAAAATAATAAATAAGAGTATCATAATCAAAACACATAATCTTACTTAACGACCATGTAAACAAAAAAATATGACACTTGAATGATTGGGAAGAAGAACAAAATTTTACAATAATAATTAAGTTTCTCTTGCATGAAGATCTATCTAAAACAATTTTTTTAAGTCATTAACTAACTCTGTGCTAGCAACCATGATACTTATACATAATATAAGATGCAAAGCCTTTTCATGGACATGAACTATTGGAAAGAATCAACCTATTATTCCTAAAATGATTTTATTCTATTGAGAATAATGTTCTTGACAATCTATCTTTGTCTCAGTAAAGTTTTTCATTTTCTTGATTCTCATGTAATTGAATACTTAAAGAAACTTTATAACAACATGTCATTAAAATTAAGAACGAGTTTTTGGAATATTATAATTAAAATGATTTAATCTCTTAAATTTCAAATCACATGAGAAAAAATTCTACGTAAAATATAAATTTGAATTAATGGAATCAAATCAATTTTAGACCATGGTCTTAGAGGCATCAAATCTTTTCAATGACCCACTTTATCCAAAAATAAAAAAAGAGCACACACTACAATGTTTTGTATTAGGAAGTTTCGTAAGAGAACATGTGTCGCATCAATTGAAGCGTGTGACCGTGTCAAATGCGTTGCTCGTAACCCTATTTTCTCTCTCATTTTGCCGGACTTTCGATGGATTTCGTAAACTCCATTTCAACAGTTACAAGACCATACCGCCATTCTCGTTTCTTATAAAACTCTATTTCTCAACAATTTCAACTCTTATTCCCAATTTCAACTATAATTTGTCAAAGATGTGGAGAAATTCCTGTAATCTATTGAAACGGACAGTTTCATCGGTTGCGAGGACAAATACGATTAACTATGGGGTGAACCCGTTTTTGGGTGTGGATTATAAGTTCGGGTGCTATTGTGGCCCGACCCGAATGGTGGGTGGGTACTATTTTAGCTCTGGGTCAAATGGGGGTGGGGAAAACAAGAATGGGAATGGGAATGGGAATGGGGATAGTATTACTCATGAGGAAGCTAAGAGGTTGATGAGATTGGTGAATGTTGAGGAGCTGAAGTGGAAATTGGGGATGAAGAATACGGAGGTTATTGGGTATATGGATCTGTTAAAGGCGTGTCAGAATATGGGTGTCGCTAAAACCCATGATGAAGCTGTTGGTTTTGCTAGAGTTCTTGATGAGGCTGGTGTTATATTGTTATTCAGAGATAAAGTTTATCTTCATCCTGATAAGGTGATTATTTGTTTTTTCTCTCATGTTTTTAATGTTTATGGATGTGTTTTCATTGTTTTGGGGATTTGCGGTTGTTTAAAAAGGTGTTTGATTGATGATTGGTATATTTAAGGAAATGGCAATTAGAGTGTATGTAGATCTTACCCCTACCTTGGCAGGTAAAGGTTGTTTTCGATAGACCCTCGGCTCAAGGAAAGCAAAACAGAACATTTATGAAGACATAAGTAGTAACAACATCAGGATAATAAGATCAACCCTTCGGGGTGGCCCAGTGGTTTGGGCTTGGGACTTCCATGTTGGAGGTCTCAAGTTTGAAACCCCTTGCTAGCGAAAGCAAGGGATTTGCCTTCTTGATCGAGCTCGTCGCACCGGGCTTGCCTAGTGCGGGTTACCTCTCCTACGTGGTTTGCGAGATTTTACCCTGTGTGCACCCAAAGGGTAGCGGTTGCGGGTTTCCCTTGTCATAAAAAAAGAATAATAATAAGATCATGAAAAAGGTGAGATCTTTGGGAGTAATGCTTTGGTGTTTGGTTTCATTGCCCTCTAAGATGAGGGAAGGAATATTATTCTCTTTTGGGTGTTGTGAGGAGAATCTGTTACCGGCAACATAGAAGGGGAAACAGCAAAGCATACAATCAGTGGCATATGCTAAAATTTCAAGAACCAGCATGATGAACGACATAGTTTCTTTAGCTTTGCTCACTTGTTCTGCTTTTTCTGTTTGCCTTTGGTATATATGCAATGTAACAAGGACTTATATTGATTAGTTTATCCTAAGAATTAGCCGTTAATGGTTAGTATGTGTTAATTTCATCAGGAAACTGGAATCACTTATTTGAGAAAATGGTATCAATCAATGGTGTGAGCTTGGATTAACCGATGTGTTTCATAGTTGAATCAGTTTCCTTAGATCAATATATACTTACAGAGCCAATAAGTGTGAATGACCTGCCTTTGATGGGAAAATTATGAGAAACACAAAGAAGGGTCAAGGCAGTCTGGCAGGGGGTGGTGGTGGTGATTGGAGATTTGTGATGTTTGATATGCTGGTTACATGCTGAAACTTATTGAATAGGCTTTCTATAAGCAAGAATATAAGGATAGTGGAGAACAAACTCTTGTTAGTTTGGTCATTCCATAACCACCTTATTGTGGACATTGTCTTATACTGCCCGAAATCTGGTAGATTTTCAGTCCATTAGTTGATAGTGTAAATATGGCTTATTTTGCATGGACATGTCATGCTTCAATTACTTCTTTTCTGTATTTGCATGAGAAAATGCATAACATCTCCCCCAAACTTGTCCACGTAATTTAGTTTAGCATTGCAACTATAGGGCGTTTAATTAACCCCCTTTCTAGTTTGAAGTGAAATTAATACACTTCCCCAAACAATCCTAGATTAATTCCCAGGAGCGTTATAACACGCTTGACACGTGTATAACACCATTTTTTCAATCATTTTTATTTTTATTCACTTATTTTATTGTTCTTTTTTAGTTTTATCCATCACTTATTTTATCAATAAACTACATAGTATTTGCATAACTAAGTTATGTGGACAACTTTAGGGGTCTTTTTTTTTTTTGTATTTTCTCTATTTGCATAGCATCATCCAATTACTTATTTTCTAATTTAATGAGACAACGAGAATTAGGAAATCATGAAAGAGTTAGAATTATGCTTTCTTTGATCACAAATTTATCGTTGAATAGAAAGTAAAGAATGCGTGAGTTTTAAATGCATACTTGGTTGTTTCTGGATCTGAATTTGAGTGACATTTCTTAATAGAAAGTCCATTTCTAGCCGGCCCTCTTAAAATCTTTCTCACTATTGATATAGTCAGTTTCATGTTCTTCCTCTTCTTCTTTTTTTCAGGTAGTGGATGAAATTAGAAAGGCAGTTCCCTTAGCACTTCTACCTGAAGATGACCCCACAATAGAGGAACTAAAGATTCTGCAGGAGAAGAAGGATAAAATAGATGAGCTTGCCCATAGGTATGTGCGCCGCGTTTTGTGGGCTGGTTTAGGGGCTGGCCTTTTGCAGGTCGGGCTCTTCTTCCGTCTTACGTTCTGGGAATTCTCTTGGGATGTGATGGAGCCAATTGCTTTTTTTACAACTTCTGCTGGAATAGTAATAGGTTATGCTTACTTCCTTGTTACTTCTAGAGACCCATCATACCAAGATGTGCTGAAGAGGCTTTTCATCTCAAGGCAGAGGAAGCTGATCAAGAAGCATGATTTTGATATTCAGAGGTTTGTCGAATTACAAAAGAAAATCAAATTACCAGTGAATAGTCAATCTTCCATTAAACATCGGTTAGGAATGGAGCTGGAACCCGAGGATCTTTTACATCGTCACTAAATCATGTTGGCCTCTGATCCTCTTCCTCCCAGCTTCTCACATAATTAAATCCTTACTAAACTCATACCTTTTAGCCAATGTAAGCCCTACATTTTGTCACGGAGGGTGAATATCTCAGTTGTTAACAATCATCCCTGATTTTACCTTGTAATTTGAAGGTTATATTTCTTAAATCTTCTTTACAAGATAGGCTTAGATAGTAGTTCTGTCCATCACAATATCCTTCAAGCCTTTTACTCTGCTGTTGTTGTCCTGTTATATATACTTGAAAGTTGTAACAAGATACTGATGTTATATTAATGACTTTTGAATGTTCAATCTTCTGGATAACCCCTGTAAAGGATTCAAAATATGCAATCGATTGCATAAGAAGATTTCCTTGTTAGTTGCTTTGTCTTCTTCATTGCGTTTTTCCTTTTCATAACTATTTTGATTTGCTGCACTTGAGCCGAGTGTCCTTCAGAAATAGCTTCTCTACTTCCACGAGGTAGGGGTAAGGTCTGCTTACACTCTATCCTTCCAAAACCCCACTCGTGTTAGTTCACTGGTTATCTTCTTGTTGTTGATTGCATAAGAAGATTCTCTTTGACTAGAATGCCCAGGCTTTTTACAAGCCCTTTTACGGGTGTTCATCATAGTTACATTTTGTGGGCTATTGTCATCATCGAGGTACTTATGTGCCTGTTTGGATTGACTTTCGGTTAATGATACTGAAATGTGTCAATGACGATGGTTATGCACACTTTTCAGTGACCTTTCTTTCATAGTTTGTTTGAAATTGTGATCGATAGTTATTTGGTTTCAATATCATGCAGTACAGTTTCTGTAGTAAAGTCTTACAAATTTTTACTAGATGAGCAACAATGGAAGGAGAAAACATGCGAATGTGTTTGTTAAATGAAAGGGAAATATTGACATTCTGTTGTCCATATTGGGAGAACTATATGTACTTCTAGTAAGGCAGTGGACGAAGAACTTGATCTGTTTCTTGGAAACAATAGTCCGCTGCTTCTGGAAGTAGAAGATGCAAGTCATTATTAGAATATGCATTTTGCTGGCTCGACTTCTGGGAATGGTGAAACTCGTGGTTCACGGGAGTGAATGGAGAAACTTCCAGTAACGATGAGGGTAAGGATGTTGAAGCATTGGATAATTGTGTTCTGAGAGACATTGCTTCAGCTGAAGCTTCGTTTAAGTTGGATTGCAAGTGAAATATGTGTTTCTGGAGGGCAGAAATAATGCCTACACTGCCATAAACTGGATCTCTGAGTCTTGCTGTAGCTTCATAAACCATGCTGATTACTGCATCTTCTCTATTATCCATTGGTATCTCCTGCTGAAAATTAATGTCAACCATACTACACAAAAAAAAGTTCATTTCTTCAAGTATCGCTATAATAGTACTCTTAGCATCATATTAATATCATCATATATATAAAGTTAAAATATTTTATGTATGTATAGTAGATGTTGAATTCATTTCGTGAAAATTTTGGTTCCGTTACTTATAGGCTCGTTTATGGGTGTATTAAAGGGAAAAGTAAACCTATACTAGTTAATTAGCTAATATAGCTATAGGTTAAATTAATTACGGCTCACAGCTTAATTTTAACATTAATTACGTCACTTGTCCTCTTTTATATATATACAAATACAAATTATACACATACATATACAATTATATGACATATATACGAATAAAATTAGCATCTCTTCACTCTCTAACCTTTCTCGCTCGCCTCTCTCCTCCCTCTCTCAATCTCTCTCGACCAGATATACAAATACATATGTATATCAGTTATATATATACAATTATTTGACATATATACATATGCAGTTCGCCTCTCTCCACTCTCTGCCCTCTCTTGCTCGCCTCTCTCCTCCCTCTCCCAGTCTCGCTCGCCTCTCTCCTCCCTCTCCCAATCTCGCTCGCCAGATATACAAATACGTATGTATATTAGTTACATATATACAATTATTTGATAAATATACATATATAATTCGACAAATATACATATACAATTCGCCTAGCGACGAATAGTAATTAACAAACTATAGCTATGGAGCATAAGCTATTTTTGAGTGGCTATATGCGAAAGTTCCCAATTATTTAACACGTTATTATAGCATCTTGTCAGCCTTATTTTCTTTTCAACCGACTCTACTTATCTTATAAGGTCGTTCTGTAGTTAACTTTTAATGACTTTTTGTGTGTGTGTTTTTTTTTTTTTTGCACTGTTAAATTATAGATTTTAAAATATTAAAATTACATTATAAACAAATAAATATAAAATTGAATGTGCTAGCTCTTTACACTTAAAAGCACTCTTGTCATTGTGTATAATATTCTTATAATATAAAGTTAAACATTATGGTTCAAATTCAAGTAGTGATTAAAAGGCTTTGGTGGTTTCTTCCAAATTATTTAAGTCACGGTAGTAGAGTTATCTAAATATTTATGCTAGTAGGAGCTAGCAGATAGCATAAGTCGGAGATATATAATAGGTAGCCGGTGTGACGCACAATCTAGTCTAGAGACAGAGATACCACAAGAACAACGACAACAATAATATATCCATTATAAACTCACATGTGTAATCTGGAAAGAGTATAAATTATAATGTATGCAGATTTTATCAATACTTATTTCCAATAGACCCTCCAGTCAAGTAAAGCATTTCAAAGCAATTTGAAATTTGAATACCAAAATGATAGTAGTGACGACAACGAATTATAAATACAATATGGAAAACAGTTCATAGGTGGTACCGAAAGCACAAAAAACACATGTGGTAATAGAAAATGAAGAACAAGAAACTACGAGAATAAATAAAATAAATATTACGAATGGTACGTACTTGTAACATTTTGGTGATGTTGCTAGCACCAAAAATACGATGAACAACAATAAATTTATGTGGTTCAGTAGGTGGAAAATGAGGCAAGAAAATGCAATCTTTAGTGCATCGCTTACGAAGAAGCTTGCATGCTGAACATAACATATGTTTATTCTTCTTGCTTAATCTAGAATTCATCACTCACAAATATATTATATTAAAAAATAACTTGCCTAATTTGATACTATTTATTTTTAATCAACACAAATGGACTTACTTAATTGAGTATTTAAGGACATAATAAAGTAGACCATAGGGTCCACAAAATTAGCTGGAGAACAGAAAAAATCTTTAGAGATCCTAATTTTAATTAATTAAGATCTTGCAAGTTGTAATAAAACTTTCATATTTCCCATTGTCATTTTCAAACTGACAAAATTCATTGAACAAAATGGAAACTGCTTGACATGGAGAATTTACATCAATTATTGTTTTTCATCTCAATTCATCACTAGTATATTTTGAGTTTCACTTATATGTATTCGAATAGTAAAAAAAAAAGCTTGACTTGATCTGTTATAGCATGTTGTTTGTCTTATTTTATTGGTCGTTGTAGATTTCTTATTTCATGGAGGGTTACTAATAATGCATTGTCTTTTTTTTTTTTTTACTATATATTAAATATAATATTGTATATTTTTTCTACTTATTATTGTGTGGATAATTGGGTGAATGATTAAGAGGCTAGTGATATTACAAAGTACGTACGACAAAGACAAAGAAGCTTCACACGCGAGGGTCCATAATATTTTAGGTGATATATATATATATATGAATGAAATGATGATTAGTGTAGGTGACAATATTGATTTAATATTAATTGAAAGACGTTTTGAGACAATATATATTTGTCAATATATAAGAGAAAATGACCTTTCTGCTGCCGTTTTATACTAGTTTTTTTTTTAAAAAAATAAAAATTAGAAATTAATTGAACTTATATTTTGCAAAATCAGTTTTAATTGTAGAGTGTAGAACAAAAATACAAGTTTACTCACATTCTATCTCAAACAGATTAGTTATATATGACATTAATTTTCAAACAACATGTATATATTCCACTTTATATATTCTTTTCTTTTTAAATCTATTTCAAAAAAATATTTATTTCTCTTTTTGGCAACCTTTGATTCTTATTTTTCATGTGACATGTTTAAGATTATAAAATTGAAGGATGTTCATTCTACATATCTTTAATATAAGATAATAGTATTTAATTTATTTTAATTTTTAAAATTATATGACGAGTCAAAATCAAATAAATAAATTAAAAGTGGAGGAGTACCTTTTTTTTCCAGATCAAATCAAATGACACGAATATGTCTCCTTCACAGTTCATACTAATAAAAGACATTTTTATTCTGTAAAAACTATCCCATGCATGATATAGATTATAGACTATAGAGCTTAATTAATTAAAGAGAACTCTTAATTAAATACCTACCGACAGTTTTTTGCATTAAAATCTTGTTTAGACTGGAAAGTAACATTTTTTACTTTATGATCCAAGTTTTTTGTGTTTTCTAGCAGGTCTGGTTCGGTGGGAAATGAGAGAGAAAGTCATATTTTATATCATAAATTTTTCGTTGAATCACAGTGGAAAAAATTTCTATTTCCATTAGTGACGGAATGCCACTGTAATGATGTTGGACCAAGCCAGCACAATGCTTCATTACTAAAGAAAATCAGAAATTAGCGAAAAAAAAATTTGTAGCTAAAAGCAAAATGCATCACTAATCTTATTATAAAAACAGAGAATCATTAAAAAATTACGAACGTCATAGCTATGAAGTTCGTAATTAGTTTTTTTTTTTTTTTTTGGTAGTGAAAGGGCAGGAGTTGTTAATTTATACTTTCTTATATACCTTGCATTTGTTAACTTGCTAGTAAAGAGAATCTTCCATATAGGATACAAGTGAGTTATGAGTATATATACAAACGTTCAAATCTCATATCCTCTCTTGGTTTTCCCCATTAATAATGTAAGTCGTTTGATTGGGAATAAGTTACCCCAAAATTAATTATTCTGAGATAAGCTATTCCATTATGTATATGGGATAACTTATCTCATTAATATGGTATAACTGATAGGATAAGTTATTCCAAACTTGACAACCAAACAAGACACCAAAATTGTATCCCAGTTCTATTTATTTTTATCTGTCACACCAAACGATCCTAAGTGTGTAACATTCCCTCCTTCAATTTTCTCTCTTCTCCCTACTCTGATGTCAAAGGGGGGAAAAGGCTTCATTCTAGTACGAATTAGATGTCTTATTGTAAGTATATATACTAATGTCAAGGTCACATGTACGTACTTAACGTTAGATATCTTGTGTCCATCAATCAATTTAAATAATGTAGTAACATTCTTGTTGTTTTATGCTTTAAGTTCGTATTTTTTTTTTTTTTTTTTTTTGGTAGTGAAAGGGCAGGAGTTGTTAATTTATACTTTCTTATATACCTTGCATTTGTTAACTTGCTAGTAAAGAGAATCTTCCATATAGGATACAAGTGAGTTATGAGTATATATACAAACGTTCAAATCTCATATCCTCTCTTGGTTTTCCCCATTAATAATGTAAGTCGTTTGATTGGGAATAAGTTACCCCAAAATTAATTATTCTGAGATAAGCTATTCCATTATGTATATGGGATAACTTATCTCATTAATATGGTATAACTGATAGGATAAGTTATTCCAAACTTGACAACCAAACAAGACACCAAAATTGTATCCCAGTTCTATTTATTTTTATCTGTCACACCAAACGATCCTAAGTGTGTAACATTCCCTCCTTCAATTTTCTCTCTTCTCCCTACTCTGATGTCAAAGGGGGGAAAAGGCTTCATTCTAGTACGAATTAGATGTCTTATTGTAAGTATATATACTAATGTCAAGGTCACATGTACGTACTTAACGTTAGATATCTTGTGTCCATCAATCAATTTAAATAATGTAGTAACATTCTTGTTGTTTTATGTTTTGTTTGTTTTCTGCTATTGTAGGTTGGCTGCCTAATATATTGCCTTTCTGGCTTTCTCTTCCAATTATATTGTACTTCAAAGTAGAAATAATGTATACGTACTAACTGATGCAAAGGATCCTTTGAATCAAGAAAGGCGGAGGCAAAAAAATATTATTTATTAAATTCGATCGAACTTGTATCTGAATGCCTACCCGACCAGGGTCATTTGGCGGAATGGAAAAGGGTATATATGAAAAGGGTGGGATCACAAAACTTTTAAAGATTTGCATGTCATTCCCAAAGGATTACCAATTTCCTATCATGATCAAATCAAATTTCTTGATCAGCCACCTAATCTTTGGGATCTTATGTGTGGCCTCCACATTCATGAAACTTTCTAGGCGTCTATCTTTTGGCCTTTTGAAGGCCGTCACGATCAGATTGATATACAATTCGTAGAGACAGTGAATTCAAAATGAAAGTAATTTAGCACGATCAGATTGATGTA